GACTATCAATGTATATCCCGTATGCAATTCTAATAAAATTCCTTCGGCAATGTAAGCCGCCTTAATAACTTAAAAAAGTAGCAGAGGGAATATATAAGTAGTATAAATATGAAAGCTTTTTAAGGGAAGAAGTGATAAGTGGAATCACTATTTCATAATAGTTTCAAGTTCCTGACTCATCTATTATATCCTCAAATAATTAAATAAAAATAAATTTCTGTCATGATCAATGCTGTAATAATAGTTTAATAATTAATATAATCTTACTATGACATTGATGTCACACCTCTTTAGGAATAGTTTTTTAATTTTTCATACACTTGAATAACAATAAACAAATTCTGTAATATAAAGAAATATACGGTCTCTGCATACAGAATTTTTTTTATTTGAATGCTGAAAAAATACAATTCGGTATTGTTATTTTATTATGTAACAATATGTGACTATTGTATAACAATCTGATTATTTATATAATTTATAAAAAAGTAGATATACGACTATTTCCTGCTAAAAAAATTTTCTTTCTCTGAACTTGCATTTCTTGTACAACTGTTTTTATTTAAGCAAACAAATAAGCAATCATGTTTGATAATATTCCTCTTCTATCAGTTGAAGAGGTTGAGAAATAGATATGAACTAACGTTATTAAATTCTTACAAGATAATGCAGATGAAGATAAGTTAGATCTTGACAATGATGACATTGCTAAAATTAAAAAAAATAAGGTTAATGGCATATCCTTCCTTGAGTTAACACTAGAAAAGCTTCTAGCTTCCCCTTATGAACTTCTTAGTAGACTAGCAGAAGTTATAGCAAAGTTGGTCAATAAAATCAAGAGTGAAGAAGAGAGTAAGTAGTACCATAACTGTATTCAAATATTCCAAATCTATACTGCTTTCTCTGCAATAATTTTATAATTTCATTTATTAACTTGGGTCTTATACGCATGTTATATAGCTATAACTGCATTGAATCAGGCTAAAAGAAAAAGTAGGTATCATGTATATCTACAAAACTATTACGATTTTAGTATATCTTTATATTAACTAATATATTAATTTTATTTTAGTTCCTATATACTTCTAGTACTTCGAATCAAAAACCATAATAAAACTTAGTACTGATAGTTGGGAAGATTTTACTCAGTTACATGTCTGTTTGGAAAAAACTTTCAGTCTTAAGGGTTTACTAATAGATTATAAGTTTGTTATTAGCAATAATAACATAGATTTTAGCTAGTCGAAAAAGGATTTTGTTGATTTTATTGAAAAACACAAGTACTCAGCTAATAATTTAGTTAAAATTTTTAGTGTAAAAAAATATACGATATTTTAACTATCAGCAGATAGCAAACAACTGAACTTATACTATCTTGCTCTGTAGGTATTAAAAGATCATATACAGAAATGATAAGTGGTTTGCCAGCACCATCGACTCTTGGAATTCCTAATGAATAATTTAAGCATCAGAAAATTAATTCTACCAATAAACATATCTGTCTTAATTATCATCTACCAGAGGCTTCCAGCATTATACCTGTTAGCTTATATAGTTCTATTTTTAGTAAATTTAAGAAATTTTGTATGAAAGATTCAAAAAGGGAAGACAATTAATTTACCTATGATATTTGTTATGCAATGGCCAAATATTATGATAAAGAGAAAAAACACTAAGATAAGGCAAATGAAATACTAGAAGAATATCTCGTTTATTTGGTAGAGTTACTTACGATTAAATACAAAAATTCTGATAATAATTTAAAGAATGCACATACCAACAGCACTGTGTCCTTTTCTAAGTACCGTGTGGCTAACTTGGAGTATAAAAATGATGACTGTTGCTTCAATACTCTCCTTATTTAGAAAATTGTAGCTATTATTTAGTTTACTGCAACGAACAAGCAAATAGTAGCTCAAATAGCCCTTCATCTTATGTAAATAATTTTTCATACTTTTTAGTTACAATTGCAGGTATTGTAATTTCAGCTTGATATTTTTTTTCAATTAATTTCAATTGACTTTGATTGCACTTTAGGGCTTTATTTTTCTGTTTTTAGTGCCGTGCTTGCAGATATTGCAATTATAGACCCGCTTACCTTAGTTTTTCTCCTTATTTGGCAGAAACATGATGAAATGATGCTATCAATTTCTAGAACATTTCATGCTTTGAAGAAATCTCTCAAAATTCTTTATCAAGACTATAATCAAGTTGGAAACCTAGTTCAAAACTACCCTAAGGATCTATCATTCCCATTATTTCCTAATATTATTATTAACTATGAATGTTATAACGTTGAAATTGATTACAAAATTGATGATTACCTTCTTTAGGTAGTAACACTCTATAACGAACAAGGGCTACCTAAACCTAAAAGAGCTTGTGTAAAGGTTGTTCAAAAGGATAAATATTTACTTAATACATATTAGCTATTAGCAGAAACTAGATATGCTTCAAAAGTTCTCACTAGTTTAATTATTCCAGAAAATTGGCTTATAGTTTATATGGAATACTTGGAAGATTATTCGACATTAAATTACTTTGCCTCTATTAATAAACAAAATCATTTAAGAGAGAAGATCAAAGAAATTATTAGATATTTGCATGATGCAGGACATGTGCATGGAGACTTGCATGAAGGAAACATCCTAGTTTGTCAACTTACGAATAATGATTTTGATGTAAAATTGATCGATTTTGAATGGTGTGTAGAGGTTAGTTCTGCATGTTATTCTCACTTTATAAACCATGCTGATATTGAATAGCTGGATAGTGCTGAAGATGAGAAACTAGTTACAAAAAACTATAATACTAATTTGTTAAATAAGATACTTCGAGCAACAAATTTATTATAAGATCAAAATGAATATTGAAATTTATTAAGAGTAAATCAATTAAGTTTAGCATAGATGAATGTAACCTAATATTTGTTAATCTATTAATAAAAAAAATACATTTTTGTATTATTGCTGTATTGAAATTTGATTTGGCAATTATCAATAAAGCTGGCCCTAGTGGTTGATTTGCATACATAATCAGTTAAATCTTATGTATATATTTTGTGAATTTATTTTATTATATTATTATCAATATATATTATTTGCATATTGAAAATTTTTCTTAGCAATTTTCTGAGACGGCTCCAGAAATTATTGATTTAATAAAGTTATGGGTGGAGTCGATTTATATGATCATGTTAAAATGGTGAAGTCATTGAACTCTCTTTTTATTTCATAAAAATTGTTGCCCAAATGAACAACAATATACAAATAAAAAAATATAAATAAAAAATACAAATACAAACTTTTGAACATATCTACATCTTATATAAAACAATGGGAAACTTCAAATCTGAACTAGATTTATTGAAGCAGGAGAATGCTAGACTTATGGCTAGAATCACAGAATTGGAACAGATCACGAAAGAAAAAAATGAGCTTGAGGTTAGAATTGTGAAATTAGAATGATCTGCAAGAGAAAATATTAAGCTTAAATTCAGGGTTGTGAAATTAGAACAAAAGCTAGCACAAAATGACTTACAGAGTAAGGATGCTAGAGAGACTGAACAGGTAGATACATTTATTCCAAAAGAACAATCTTTAGCTAATATCAGCAATACAGCCAATACTTCTCATAAAACAAATTCCGATGATACATCTAAACAGATCGAAATTAATTCTGATAATATATTTGATAACACTTCAAATCCTGATATATGTCATGAGTCTTCATCCTAATATCCTGTATCATCTATTCACAAAGAGAGTAAATCATTAGAAGATAAGGTAGTCAATGAATTTCTGGGTTTGACATATAAAGAAAAGGTTAGTAAAGAGATAATTCAGAGAATTAGGGAGAAAAAACTTCAGAAATAAGAATTATCCTCTATATCAGTTAAAGAATTATGTAGTGAAAAAGTGAGACTGAAAGTTCTACTTGAGCAAAACAGCAAATCGGTGCTGATACAGCCTGAAGAAACAAAAGTTTTATATAATTATATAGTCATCCACCCAAGTTATAACTAGGCACAAAGTATCATTTCTTCTAAAATAAATATTATGACCAAATATTAACCCTGAGACTTTAGGTCTCACTCTCATGTGACTAAAACTAAAAATGATTCAATTCAGAAAGATAGCCAAATTGAGATGCAAAAATTTATACAAGAATTATATTTAGAACCCATAACAGAAGAATCAATTGAAGTCATTAAAAATAAAGAGCCAAATCATAATAAAAATGATGAAAATGAAAAACATATTGCTATCGAATTAGCTCATTTTATCAAAAAGCAAAGAAAGCTAAAAAGAATACTATCTATGCTAAGCAAGAAGAAATTTTAAGCTGGTATTATTATGCAGAAGGTTTCGAAAAGAGGGTTAATAGTAATTTATCTATTTGCTAAAATAATAAAAGAGCAGATAACTTGGCAAGAATTCAAGCTTATGATAAAATTTGGAATTGTCTTTCTGGTGTCTCACATGAGAATTTCTGCAAGCAAACTCAAAGAGCTTGTAAGATTTATAAATTATTTAACAGTATAGGAAAGAATAAGATTAAATGGGTTAAATCTTATAGTATGAATTGAATATCAAAACTCTCTAACTCACAAATTCAATATATTATAGAACATTTTACCAAAGAATCTTGAAATAGTAAAGATACTTTCACTTCTAATAAGGTAGAATGTGTACCGTGCGATCTTAGGTCTTACTCTTATGTGACTAAATTGTTTGACCTAAATGATTTAGCAGAAAGTAAGGTAAGTGCATTACCTATATCTCCATTTAATCTAACTCATGATCATGCTTATTTCCATAATAAAACATTGGATCAGATAGAAATGACGATTATTATGAAATTACTAATGAATCTTTATGTCTGCTATGCAAGTTAGATCATAATGATGATAATGGTATAGAAGGCAGATATGAAGTTGGATCCTACTATATTAAATATGAACAGCATAGAATTGAAATTAAGGTAATAGCATGAACTTTAAACTTATACTAGCACAATTCGCTTAAGTCTTCTGAGACATATTTATTTTTTTGTTAGTTATTATTAATTTAAAAAGATATGTAGTCATATATATAAAATAGGAACATAGATACACAGGCAAAAACTAATAAAATATTGACTCTTGAATATTTGGAATGGGAAGCTAAATTAACAGAATTGCCAGGCATTTTGACAGATAAAATTCATTCTAGGTTATATAAAAGGTATAAGAATAAACTGGATTCAATCCCTAGATAAACTCTGAAACTTTTGAGTCTCCACAAATCGAAAAAGATGCCAAAAAAAAGACATTATTTGTACCACAGATAAATGTTCTATCTACACTATCCAAACTTCAATTATCAATTTCTATTCTACTTAAAGACCTCAAAGAAAGGCAACAACATGTTATTGAAATAGTATTAGAATGATTTCCTTATTTAACTTTGAAACATAGTTTTAAATATAGTAATTATTTTGATTTT